TTTGTAATTTCCACAAGTCGATGCATTGCAATATGCTGTCTGTTAATTTGGTTGGATCTGTTCCTTCTCGTGAGAAAGGAATGACGGTCTCAAAAATCTGGAAATGCTGTTTTGTTTTCTGTCATTATCAGAGTTCGAGATTTAAATTTRATTTTGYATTAATCATCTGAATTTTGAAAACTAAAACTAAAATGAAAAATCCAATAATGCATTGAATAACGAACTATTCGCGGGGCRCGCTTCATGTCTTTTGAMTGTAATAATCAACCACTTAATCACGCACTCACTACTTACTCMCCCACTAACACAGTCACCACTCACTCACTCATTTAATTAATGATAAATTTGTTTATATATCCATCATTAAGCTCATTGTTCAATCTGTACGTTCGTTATTCTGTTCTGTGCAATGTACATCACCTCTCAACATATATCAATTGTATGATTGTCYTGATAGGTTTAGCAATCTCGTCTGCCTGCCTGACAACGAACCAGCCCCAGTTGACGGGACCAAGTGTTGGATAACGGGCTGGGGACGTACCCATGGTCACAGCTCCTCGCGTGAATAYCTCCAGCAGGCCTCGGTACCAATAGTCAGCGAASGACGCTGCAAGTGGGCTTACATGGGCCAAATTCACGAGTCAATGRTCTGTGCAGGTCTTGATAAGGGTGGTGTTGATTCATGTCAAGGAGATTCAGGGGGTCCAATGGTCTGTGAGTMAGGGGGGAGATTCTTCATCCATGGTGTTACTAGCTGGGGAAACGGTTGTGCACGTCCTGGAAAGTTTGGTGTGTACTCGAAGGTCAAGTACGAACTAAGCTGGATTAAAAGCGAAATGAATCGAAACTAAGTGCAACTGTGTATCGATAAAAGTATTTGACAATAAATATTTGTTCATGCTGGCAATGCGACAAATTCTTGAGTAATTTATTTGAGATTATTTTCTTGTATTGGTGAAGTGGACGTGTGTGCGGGACGATTTGGGCAATCTGTTTGTTTGTTTATTATTTTTGTTTGTTTTGCTTTTCGCATTTTTTAAATCGTCTGCACAATTCTTCTATTTCTAATCGTGAGCTGTGCGGTGCCTCACAGGGTCATGACAGCTTGCTGCAGAATTCCCCTTATGATACAACAAGTTAAGACCTTCTTGCAGTGGTACTCGAAAATTTGCTATTTGTACAACCAACTCATCAGTTACAAATGTCAATTTTCCGAAAAAAAATCTAAATATCTGGACGAGGTCTTAATGAAAAGTTTATTTCTCGGAAACTATCGCACCTTGTCCGCAGACGCTAAATCGTTTTTTCTGTTTTCGTTTTTTAGCTCTTTTTAGTGGTTTGTATTAAAGCTATTAATAAGCATAAATTGCGTGTTGGGAAATTGTGATACTTCTCCATACACAGCATTAAATACATATTCATTAAGAGTTCACAATAAGTCAAAAAAGTGRTCAACTTATTTTACAGGAAAGCKTTGAAGGGTATAGAGATAGCAAAATTGAGGCTTTTCAACATAAAGTGACGCTGTGAAGCGTTGAGAGGAAATTCCTTCATGTTAAGTGAAAGTCTTATAACTTGGTCTCAAGTGTCGCGGCTGTTGCGATCCATGTGTACGACCAAAAGATGGTCCGATAGATCTACTTGATCTATCCCTCGCAGGCRTTTGCATCGGTCGAGGACAATGTTTCCAGATTCTTTTAGTCCCAATAGGGTTTATCTCCGTTTTTTCGTGTAGCGATCATMAACGCACATACTCTTGTAAACAATGTTGGGATATGTAAGCCATATACAGTTTCGCTATAACACGATGTAATATAAGTGATTGTAGTTAAAATATAATTTTAACAAATAAATTGCTATCCACCAAGCACCACTCCAAATGGTTGCGTTGTATTGTGTTTTAAGAGTTACAGTGCAAAGAATAGGAAGKGGTAAGATAATGTATGAAATAGAGATTAATAAGCTAGCCTTTGAAGGTTTTTTGATCAATGAGGTGTACCTTCCTATTTCCATTACTACTAAATGAGACCTTTAACTCACATTCCTTACGCAGTCAACCAAAACACTAGTAACACCGAAACGTTTCAATAACCTTTTTATTTGACTACATGTCAATATTTTTCATAGAGTTTTAATTTTTAGCAATTTCTGCCTTCAACCAATTTAACCAATGCGTAACCCTAGAGTACACACCGTAGTTACCCCTCGAACCACACCCAACACCCCAACTCGTTACCCCATACAAATAGTATCGTCCTGCGGTATCACAGACCAGCGGACCACCTGAATCACCCTGACATGAATCTATGCCCCCTTCATCGTACCCCCCGCAGATCATTGACTCGTGAAGCTTTTTGGGATATGCTTTCAGGCAGCGTTTGTTACCAACGATAGGGACAGAAGCTTGCTTYAAGTAGTTTGGAAGCCATCCACTTGGAGATATTGCACCAAAGCCGGTTATCCAGCAACTCTTGCCCTCTACAGGRTCTGACTGGCCTTCTGGTAAACAGGCAAGATTGACGAATCTGAAAAATCGGTACAGCTAGTCATGTTTACATCACGATTGTGTATTCCAAGCAAAAACAACATAACAGGCCTTCCGCAACTTAAGACGACTTAAGAAAAAGTGAGTGTAAATTGGGCGGGGCATTGTGGCCCTTTAAGGCGACTTAAGGAAATTTAGGGATTATTAGATGAGGTCCCTTAGCGACTTAGGGCGTGTCACGGCAACTTAAGGCGACTTAAGGACATTTCGATGATAAGTAGGTGGGGTCCCTTGGTGACTTAGGGCGTCTTAAAGCAACTTAAGGCGACTTAAGGACATTTCAATGATAATTAGGTGGGGTCCCTTGGCGATTTAGGGCATCTTAAGGCGACTTAAGGCAATTTCTGACCCGGAGTAGGCAACAATACGCATTTTATGTAGAATATGTCTTACTCATGTCTTACTTATCATGTCTTACTTGTTGAGGATAACCGGTTTTTCTAGTTTAACTAATGCAACATCATAAGCGTATTTGATTGGTTTATGGTAGCTTGGATGAAGAATGATTTTGACGACCTTGATATCCTGTACGTTATTATTAGGTCTTGTGCGATGATGAGCTCCAAACCTGAAAGATGACGTCAAAGRTATGATTTCACAAATATTTAACGAATTTCAAAATACATGTTTATAGATCTACTTTTTCACGTATAATGATTGTGTTGTTCTAAAAAGGGCTACGAGGATAAAATTTTTGACTGGAAAAGACAAAAAATTCTTGTAGGCATTTTTACATGGACTCAAATAAAGAAGCAATCGGAAAAAACATCTCTAATTTGAGATGACTTCATTCCAAAACATTTCCATAGATATATAAATACGTCGAGTATTTGAATTACTATTCCATCTTGACGGAATTAAACGTTCTTTTATTAGTAATGATTGATGTTATTGTTGTTGATTTACGAGTCCTTTGCGTTGAAGCAATATTTTGTGACGTCATAGAGCAATAGGCTATTTGATCTGTTGTYGTATAAGACTAATTGTTATTCAGGATTGAAGAAATTTGCAGAGAAAGAAGCAAAACATACAGTTAGTGCAGGTTAGGTGCGTTTAGTCTAGTAAAATAGCTGTGTTTCAGGTCACCTAACGTGAATCTTCTCATTGTTTGCAACTTTCTTGACCAAGCAATGTGTAGCTGTTACGACCCACTGAGGATGAATCAAGGTTCCTCCGCAGAATGGATAGTTCTTCGTGTTTCTTAGCTGAGCTTGCCATGGCCAATCGCCTTGCTTGGCGTTTGTACCCCCCACTATCCTTGTGTCAGGACGAACACCGCACGGACCTAAAATATCCATTCTTATTATTATCATGTTCATATTGATCGATCATAGTCTATTGTCATTACTAATACTGTTTTATAATGTTTTTTGTAATGTAATTAGTACTGTTAAACAAGTTAGGACAACAAGAGATTTCGACGTTTCGACGCCATCGCGCGTCATTTTCAAGAATAATTTATTAGATCGATCACTACAGTTTTTATATGTTATTGAATAATATAATCAATAACATATAAAAACTGTAGTGATCGATCTAATAAATTATTCTTGAAAATGACGCGCGATGGCGTCGAAACGTCGAAATCTCTTGTTGTCCTAACTTGTTTAACAAAACTTATTAAGCACAAACAACTAATTCGTAATTAGTACTTATTGTTTTACTAATTACCCAAGGGAATAAAAATCTGAATAACATAGAAATAGCACGAGAGCATTCYGGTAGTTGTAGTCGAATGATGTCATCGTGCATGATGACGAATAAGGTGATGTGAGTTGGTCGACTATGTAGTTGTGTTTTACCTGCAGGAGGTAGGGTTCCAGGGGTTGTGGGTGCCGYCGTTGTTACTTCTATGGTTGTTGTTGTAGGGGTTTTTGTTGTTGATGGTTGTGTTGGCCTTGTTGTTGGAGTTTTGGTGGTTGTCCCTTGGGTTGATGGCAATGGAGGTGCAGGAGTCACTAAAAAAATATACAATTAATTATACTATTATTATTATAATATACTAAAAAATACAGCAATATGCAGAAATTATGACTTTTTGACTCATATTTCAAGTATATATAAAATATATCAGAAATAATGGGGTATCATCGCCAATATTTTTTTCAGAAAGAATCAGTGCTGGGCAACTTCAAAAAATATTGGGGACGATATCCCATAATTTCTGATATATTTTAGATGTACTTGGAATATGAGTCAAAATTATCATAATTTCTGCATATTGCTGTATGCTATTAATGGAACATATTTAAAAACACTTTGCCCTATTCATCATTATCATCATTGTTCGGCTGCAGCGCAGGCGACCAAGCTGAATCGGATTGCCCTATTAAAACCGTTAAGTTTAAACATTTCTTAGGTTGCCCATAGTATTAAAGAGCATATAGTTGTAKAGAATAGTAAAATTACTGTTTCTGATAATGTTGACGCGCTTCCAAATTTGATATATTKTTTCAAAACATCGAAATGTTGTATGCATTCGAGTTTTTCATATTTCATGAAACAATAATTGATTATTGAGAGAAATGATGACTTTGAATTCCAAAGCATTCTCTATGCAGTCAAAAAAATATATAATTGGCTGCCCCTGAATATCCCATAGTTTCTATGCGCTTGCTTTCAATACCTTTGTCAGAGCACTTCCCAACAGACACGTCATCAATAGCTATGTCACCTTGGAAACCTYTACCCACAATRCCTTCGAAAGCAATCTTGAAAAAGAAATAAGAATGATATTACATAGAAATGAGTGTTTTATCGCAATAAAGCTAAATAATGTTAATGTCATTCATTGAAAAAAAAAAACAACAAAAGGCGAGTCTCGAAAACTGATCATATTGAATCAGYATATAATATAGCTTCCAAAGCTTCCAGATAATGGATTAAATTGGTGATTTAGGAATCAATGCTGATGACTAACAACAAACGAAATAGAGCATTATTAATTATAAATAGAAAAATAGCCAATACTTTCCGATTTCCTGTGATGCCATTGAGAGGAAYTTCAGCTCTATTCCAGGAAAATCCAGTTTTTCCGGTTTTGCTGTAGATTTTTGAATTRTCAATGTAGACGTTTARCGTACCAACATAATGACCAATCATATGATAGTAAAATAACAGACAGCTGTCACTGTTTACTTGCACAAGTCGTTCAATCACTGCACTATCGTGACGCCTTTTATTAGACGCTTCTATATACATGTAATATCCTAGGAGATAGATAATAGATCATCAATCACTGGGCTAGCTGTCAATCAATCAAACAATCACTAACTGTCAA